CGTCCTCCACTAGTGATGTGGCAGTACTGTCTCCCCATAGTGAATGAACATTTCTTCTTCTTTTTGTCCTTTGGTTTATATACGAATACAAGCGTTTAGGTCATTCTATGGATTCCCTAACGATTTTCTCTTCGTACAGCTTTCTGGCCTTACGGAGGGTCGAGGCACAGGTATTTCGAGCCTTTTGATACTGAGATTTTGCCTCGTCAGTCCCCAGTAACCTAAATCTGTCCCTTTCCTTCTTTTACGGAGAAGGATGCAAACCTCCTGACTGAACCACGGTGGTGAGTTTCTCGGCCCCTTAGGTGTAGTCCAAGGGATGTGGGGGGCGGTAACTTTTAAGTATAAATTCCGGAATACGTCCCAAGCCGTTTCGATCGATGACTCTGGGTCTATTTTCCAATCTACTGATGATGCTGATTTCATGATGTCTGGTATGTTTGCTTTCCAGACGTTAGGTCTGGATTGAGCTGAGGCGTGCTCGTGATCGACAGTTATATGGAAGTCAAAGCTTAAAACTGCATGATCACTTTTGCCTAGGGGTGGCATGTAATCTCGGTTTGCAACGTCATCCTCATAATGAGTCAATATAATATCTAGTAAGGATGATGCAGAACCCGGGTCGTACCTAGTTGCTTCCTTCACGTATTGCACTAGGGCCCATGTGATTACCGCATCAACTAGTTCCTGTTCGAAGGAATTTGCTGACGATTCAGTCCGCAGATTTCCCCAGTCCACCATGGGTGCATTGAAGTCCCCTAGGATTACACATCGATCACTTCGTGATAAAGTGTTGAGACTGCTTAGCAGGACCTCGTTTACCTCACAGCTTGGACTGAGATAGATCAAACTAAGCAGCAACTCTTGTCCCCTGCATTTCAGGCGGCAGCTAACTAATTCATACGTCCCACTCTCATGGGATACACTGTCGATAATGGTAAATGGAATAGCATTCCTAATGAATAGAGCTACTCCCCCTCCTTTACGCGTTTGTATTCTATCGGCCCTTACTAAAGTAAAACCCTCGAAATCAAGTTCCCTATTATCTATAGACGGCGTCAGCCATGTTTCTGTGACTGCGATTATGTCTGGCCTAGTTGAGTCAATCTGTACACCTAGTTCCGGTAGCTTACTAAGTAAGCTCCGGGCATTGGTATAACAGATCTGAAGTCTATTTTGGTGGCCTCGTGCTTCATCCAGAGTGGCTTCGGCATCATCCTCTGTCGAAGCCTCACAACCAGAAAATTTACAATTTTCAGGTCTTTTTCGCCAGCGTCTAATCTAAGCTGTAGTTCTTTTACAGCTTCCCGTCTTTTTACACGGTCCGCCAACGGTAAGTCTTTACGGAGAAAAACTCCTGAACCCTTCAATTTGTGTCCATTTTCTAAGATTAAGTCACGTTCGTTCGGGGATTTGAAAACGACTTTGAGTGGTCTAGACTGATTTGGCTTCAGATGCGCTAGGTTTCCTAGCCTATACACCTTCAGCAAGGTGACTCCGGAGATGTTTTGGGACATAACTTGGTTGAGTAGTTGTTTTATCAACACAATGTCATTCTCAAAACGAGATTTCGGTTCTAAGCTGCCACTCTCCTTGACTCTATGGAAAATAACTGATCTGTTTCTGTGATCAGACTTCGGCTTGTCGACCTTTTTGGTGGGGGTAGGACTCCCTTTTAAGTCATTTTGCCGTTTTCTCCTTACGACCCGTACCCAATCGCCAACGTTCTTTGGAGTAGTAACCACAGTCGCGTCAATCGTACTGTGGGATTCCGAAAGGTTCAGGACAACTTGGGAGGTTGGGTCATCTTTCGCGCTGGAAACCGATCGAGCCTTGCGATTTTAGGTTCCGGATGTTTCCTTCTGGGTACCATTTTTGGTACGAGGGACAGAAGAGACTTTTTTGCGCGAGTTTCTGGTTGTGACAGACCTCTTTGGAGGATGTCCTTCCTCCTTTGGACATTGAGGGTCAACATTTTTGGGACTCACTTGGGCCTGTCTTGTGTCAATCTGCGCGTCGACAGATTGAGTTCTGACTGATGTGTCCCGACCGCGCTTGCCGAGACAATTTTTCGCGGCATTTACTATTGAGATGGCATCGGTTAACAGGCTATTTGCATCCAAACAGCACTGTTGACATAGCCAGATGCATCCATTTTTACTGAACCGCTTGAAAGCTGCAGGCGTTAGATTCGTGTAAACTTCGTGGTACCAACCTTTGCACTCATCGCACTGCATGCCGCTGTCAACGGGATATCGACATCCTGGGAGATGACAAATGCTTTTGTTGCATCTTCCAGTCATTTTAGGATGAGAAGTGAGTTTTGACTAAAATTAGAAAAAGCTATAAATAGTTAGGACCAAAGTACTAACAGATACAATAGAAAAAACAAGGTACTCTGGAGTACCGACGATAAAACTATTTAGGATACCAAAAATGATACTCTAGTCGAATACTTTAACTGAAAGAAATTCAATCAAAGTATAAAACAGTAGTCTTGATACGTTAAAAACGATCAAAACAATGGAATTTACTGCACACGATCTTATGTGCTACTGAGCATTCAGTTCCTAAAATGGTCACAAAAAGCTACAAGGAACCTGCAATCATCAAGAACCGCACTCGTCGTTTGCTAAGCCGCAAAAGGCACTGTTGGGCTGAATATAAACGAACTGATAACAACGGCGCGTACAGGCAATACAAACATATAAGGAACATATGCACAAAGGAAATAAGAGAAGACAGGCTTCAGTTCCAGACCAAGCTTATCGATAGATTCGTCTCCAATCCGAAAAGCTTGTTCAGTTATGCAGCTTCTCTTCGACATGGCAAAACTGGAGTTTCCAAACTGCTTGGTCCTAATGGCCCGACCAACAACGGCAGTGATGCCGCTAACCTTTTGGCTGAACATTACTCCCGGACATTCCAGCTGACCCACATCAACCATACTGACGAAAGCTTCACCTGCACCGCTACAGGACTTTACAAAGTGGACCTTAGTGCTGACCTGGTGCTCCGTAAACTGCAGAACCTAAGAAAAGACACTCCTCCTGGTCCGGACATGGTTCATTCCGCTGTATTGAGGGAAGCAGCTTCAATCCTGGAGACACCACTTAGCGTGATGTTTGCACACTCGCTAAGCAGAGGCAAACCACCGGATATATGGAAGCTGGCCCACATCACACCAATTTTCAAAGGAGGTCGACGCAGTGAACCCTCAAGCTACCGACCAGTGGCCCTTCTCTCCATACCTTCAAAAATTATGGAATCCCTAGTATTCGACGGCATACTAGAACACTTATCATCCTCAAAGTTCTTCTCGCCTCAACAGCATGGTTTCAGAAAAGGTCATTCTTGTATGACCAACCTGCTGACTGCGGTGGATAGATGGACAACCATCCTTGATCGCAAGGGGAAGGTTGACGTCATCCACCTGGACTTCTCAAAAGCTTTTGATAGGGTCAACCATGCATGTCTTATCAAGAAGAAAGGACGATTGGGTATAAAACCCCCTTTAATTGACTGGCTCTCTTCATATTTAGAAAACCGACACTTTAAGGTCAGGGTTAACTTCACCCTCTCTCAGGCTATGGAATGTCCTAATGGGGTCCCCCAGGGTTCAATACTAGGACCTCTTCTCTTCTTGATTTATATTAACGATCTTCCTCAACAAGTTTCATCTGATTTATTGCTTTTTGCTGATGATGTGAAACTTTGGAGAGAGATACGTAATCATAATGATATACTAGTTCTTCAGGAGGATCTGACTCGACTTCAAAGTTGGGCAGACGACAACGGACTTACCTTCAACACTTCAAAGTGCAAGGTAGTCCATCTGAGACATGTTGCAGACTATAGTTATAACTTAGGTAACTCACCTTTAGAAGTTTCCGAAGTCGAAAAAGATTTAGGAGTGTTGGTACCCTACGACCTGAAATCGTATGCGAACTGTGACAAAAACGCCTCTCAAGCAAACCTTGCACTGGTAACATTGAAGCGCATTTTTGGCCAGTTTGACGGTAGAACCTTCCATATAATCTTCAACAGTTTTATTCGTCCCCACTTAGTGTACGGAAACATAGTATTTTCTCCCTCCCTCCAAAAGGATAAGGTCACTCTGGAACGTATACAACGTCGAGCCACGAAATCAGTTCGGGGACTCAAATTCAAACCTCATGAAGAGCGCCTCAAATCACTTAACCTTTACCCGTTAGAGTATAGGCGTCTTAGAGGTGATCTTATTATGACTTATAGTATCCTTAATACTTCTGGTCATCCCCTTAAACAACTTCTTAAGCTTAGTCATAACACTAACCTCAGTGGTAACACCCAGAAATTGGAGACCCTACATAGCAGAACAGACTGCAGACACAACTTCTACTCCGTTAGAGTTTTCAAGTGCTGGAATTCGCTGCCGACTGAGCTAGTCCAAGCGACCTCCCAGGAGTCCTTTAAGAGAAAACTTGACTTATTCTTAAGGACTGAGGATAACATATTATTATGATTTACCAAATTCTTTTTTTCCCTCTATTATCGTTCATATACCTAGGTTCTTGCCTGGAGGTATTGGCGATCCACTACTACCAGACACGGAAGCCCGTTAAGCGAAAGCTTCTTCTATTCCGTCCTCAACCATTTGAACCATTTGAACCATTTGAACCACTGTCCTTTTTAAATAGCGCGCAATAATGATAGTATACCTGAGTTCTTACCTAGAATTATAGGTCATCCAATGCCTCTGGATATGGAAGCCTGTTAAGCGAAAGCCTCTTGTATTCTATCCAGAACCATTTGAACCATGGAATGGTCTACTCAGCCGAGTAATATCTGTCCCATCGGTGAACGCTTCTCTGGAGAAACTAGATCTTCAGCGGAAGAAAACACAGGAATTAGCAGAAGCTTATTGCACTGCTAATCTTATGACTGAAGACCTAAAACACAACTAGTTGAATCATTTGCATTATTTCTTGGGCAGGTGTTGGCGGTCATTTTTAGTTTCGCGCTACTCCGAAGTTTCCTTGAGACCTAGACTCTTAGTATCCTCAGTTTCGTGAGGTAATGTTTTTAATTCTACAAAATAAGAAATACAGTTTCACCGGTCATAGTTTCTTGCACAAATGAAATCATTTTATTGACATAACTTATAAATATTGTATTTTGTTTAACATGTATATGTAATTTTAGGTTTATATATAAGCCTAATAGTATACTACTAATCAAAATCCTCCAGTTTTTCCAAAATTTATGCAGTCGCATTACAAATTTGTGAGTATGTTCCGTGAATTATGTTATTGGAGTATATTGTTCTACGGGAATTCTCATTAATTAGACCTATTGGTCTCAGTTCCTTTTTGCCTATATATAGGCAATCACGTGATTGCCTGCACATACTCAGCCGTATGGTTTGGTTAATACTAAAGCAAGCCAGACTAGAACTTCTCTTTTTTCGTCTACCTGAACTCTTGATTGGAACTATCGAAGCTGCTCATAGACCGCGGCGTTATAAATATTTGGTTTACAATGAACTTAAGTTTATTTTCATAATAAACCCTACACACCTATCGAAAAAACTGCTCTTTTTACTTCTAACCAAAAATTACAGGTCCAAAATGGCTAGATTAATATTTTACCAGGTCGTTTTTATAGTTTGACATTTTATAATTCTGTTGGTATAAACCTAGGCTTTTTTACCCACTAAACCTAGAAAAAGAATTTACGCTTTATATATTATGGCCAAGAATAGATATCCGGTATTTTATAGTATACTTTTCCACTACCTTCATCTTGATAGAAAACTTATGGATTGCGGAAACACCCCACCTGCTTTAATGTGTTAATGGTATATGATAATCCATCACTGCATATGTTATCAGTCAGTCATTCATATACGCCGTATAAACTGGCACATTTATATCAGTTTGGGTGGCTACGTAACATCATACTGAGGCGAAATTATCAGGGCAAATCCCATAATAAAACAGATTAAGTATCGAACAAAAGAAATTTCCGCCTGTGCTGCTCTAAATGATTCTGACCTACTTCACCCAAAATATCTAACTAATGGATAAAGTAATTGCGCAGATCCCAACCATTTAGTTTCTAATTACCTACATGATTCAGTCTAATCATCAATGACTTCATGGATTGATGCCATGTTTTAGTCCCTGGCTCTCATTCAACCCACCCATACACTATACAGTATTTCACATCAAGGTATGCGAAAGTTGAGCTCATGTAATACATGTTCCGACTACTACTTCCGACTACCTCAAATGCCCTGGTACGTCCGAGAGTGGGGAGAGTCCTCTCTCCCTCTACAAATGCTCTCATATGGCCACACGTATATAGCCTCCGCCAGGGAGGTCCTACTCACTGCCTTCTCGTGGCACTACTGTTGTTAACGAAATTGAGAGGACGAAAAGTAAATTTTCTGCTCTTTAACCGGGTTGGTGGACACAGAGGGTCCACCTAAGGGGGTCGGAAAACCCTGATTCCAAACCAATGGTGAATATGGGCTCCAATATCCTGAGGGAACAAATGGCGTATGAATCAATCGTTTGTCACCGGCTACCATGGGATTGCATCTCCTTACGATGCTCCACTGCCTTGTGGATCAAACCTTTAGGTCAAAGGCTCGGGGTGTGTCCACCTAAGAAAACCACCTGCTGCTTCGTTTTGGACACCCGGGCAGTATCACAGCCCTCACACAGATGAAATGAGATTTGTTGGGCGCATATATATCTGATGCCCCTTTTGAAGATTCACCACCTCATTAAAGAATCTACTATCTTTACCTAGCAAATTATGCTTAACCTCAACGCTTATCTTAGCTGTACAAAAGTATGATGAATTATAGTTGCATTGGATAATAGAACCGAACAAGTAAAATAAACACTACACATCAACGGTTTAATTCCTCTGCCAACACCTGTGAAATGAAAATTTTTAATTTTTGTTTCTACTCAAACTTCCAATACTAAAATTGGTAATTAATATTTGAGTGTATCAAGTTTTATCACTAAATTCCAGAAAACATTTGCCTTTGACAAATGTTTTAAGGGCACTATATTGGCTTGCAAAACTAACTGTATTTAGGTTGGTGCTACTACTTGGCTACCTAAACTGAAGTAAATGCTGCCACCCAACGATTTAAAGCCAAGTGCCCTAACGAGTAAACCACCGTTTTATTCATCAAAATATAATTAACTGTTTATATGGGATGATAGTGGCTTATCAGCCGTTGAGTCTATGTTCTTGCTTCACATATTGAACTTACTTACTTACTTACTTTCGCCTGTTACTCCCAATGCCCGACCGTTGCTGCTACCTTGACGTGGTGGTCGGGCTTGCCTATCGTGATGATCCAATCGAGCTATGCTGGCTGGAACAATCGTTCCTCGAGGTCCTACCATGCCAGACAGGTCGATTGAAGAGCGGTGAGACTAAAAGCAGCAAACCCAAGGTCCGAAGGCGAAGTCGTACTGCTGACTGTACAGAGGTGTGAAAGCAGTAAGGTGTTTCCTTCAGACAACCAGCATGACAGCGATGCTGCCTTCCCACAAGGAGGGGTGGGGTTAGAAAAGGTCGACCCTAAAAATGCACACCTCGCCTTATCCCACGGATATCCGTCTCCGGCGGTAAGGTTTTTTTTTGAAGAACGGAGCTAACACAAAAACTACCCACAAAAAGGTCGTGTGTGACCGACCTCAAGCAGTTGTCCCTTGGGCACTGCGGTCACGCTCTCCGGTCATTAAGACCACTTCTAACCCAATTCCCTTTTCAGGTACCTCTAGAAGAATCCTTCCACGGTGTGGGCAACCGGGAAGTGATAACTGCCCTCATACCTCTAACAACACTCAAGACCACTGTATTCATAATCAATCTCCTTCTTCAATTCCTACTACCTTGACTTTCAACACTAAACTTCCTCTCTCGGTTTCCTCCTCAAGTGTCACCATGGCCAACGATTCTAGTGCGCGAAACGCTGTCCCAGGTCTACTAAAACCTCGCTCCAAACTACACATTGGAGCCTTCAACGTACGTACTTTAAGTCAAATCGGTCAACAGGCCTCCTTAGCTAAAACCTTAGAGTCGCGTACCATTGATGTACGCTGTGTCTCCGAAACACGCATACAGGATCCCAGTGTGGTCATTCACTTGACCTCACCTCGCCAAAATGGACAGCCGACGAAATACACCCTCCGTGTATCTGGCGACCCGTTGGCTAGTTCTCGCGGACTTGCAGGTGTAGGCATAGCACTAAGTACAAGGGCAGAACAGGCACTATTAGAATGGATCCCCGTTAACAGTCGCCTGTGTGCTGTCCGGCTAAATGGCTCCGTAAGAACTCGGAAGGATAGGGACACACGTCGTTGCCTTTTCGTCGTTTCTGCCTACGCTCCCACTGACTGCAGCCATGATGAGGTGAAAGATGACTTTTACAGAAAGCTCTCTGAGCTTCTTCAGAAAGCTAAGCGCTCAGACATAGTAGTCGTAGCGGGTGACTTTAATGCCCAGGTAGGCAGCTTAAATCAAACAGAAAGACATCTAGGTGGGTGTTTTAGTATTCCGGCTCAACGAACCGATAATGGTGATCGTCTGTTGCAACTATGCTCAGACAATCGTTTATTTTTGGCAAGCACTAATTTTAAACATAAGGAGAGACATCGTCTAACATGGCGACCACCTGCACCAAACCAACGATGGACTCAAATAGACCATATTGTCATCAGTCATCGTTGGAGAGGCTCAATAGAAGATTGTCGCTCGTATTGGAATACTTGTTTAGACTCTGATCACGCTTTAATACGAGCACGCATTTGTCTGCGCCTCAATGGACGCAGGAAAAGTAAACTAAGAAGACCCGTTAGGATTGAACTGGAGGACGAGAAAGCCAAATGTGAATTCCAGAGACAACTGAGTTCACATCTAGGCAGTTCTGTAAACGAGACTGACCCAGATGCTGCTTGGAAAGGCATACGAACAGCTGTGGAGACAGCAGTAACATCTATTAGTCATTTAAACCATAGGGCTCCAAAAAACCAGTGGATTTCTTCTAAGTCTATTTCACTGATGGATTCGCGTAAACTCATACCATCAGGCTCTGAACATGACGAAGAGCGTAAACAAATTAGATCTAGGTTAACTAAAAGTCTAAGGAACGATCGTGAGCAGTGGTGGGCAACGAAAGCAAAAGAGATGGAAAAGGCAGCGGCTGTAGGCAACACCAGGCAACTATTCAGACTAATAAAAGAAACTGGAATTAAGAAGTCAAGTGTAAGTGAGACGATCTCGGAAAAAGATGGAACCCTTATCTGCTCTCTACCCAAACGTTTAGAACGATGGGCGGAACACTTTAAGGAGCAGTTTAGCTGGCCTTCAGCTACTGCACAACTACCCACTATTCCTAGAAAACCTGAATGGAACATTGAAGTAGGCCCCCCGACCCTACTTGAAGTTCAAAAGGCTATAGGTAATCTGAAACGAGGAAGAGCAGCTGGTCCTGATGGATTGGCTCCAGAGGTCTTTAAATATGGTGGTCCAATTTTAGCGATTAGGTTGACTAATATTCTGGCTAAAATCTGGGAGACGGATGTAATCCCATCCGACTGGTCACAATCACTGATTGTCCCAATATATAAAAAGGGGTCAAAATCATCCTGCGATAACCATAGAGGGATTAGTCTGACTAACATAGTATCTAAAATACTAGCCTCAATAATTATCAGGCGCCTAACTAAAACTCGTGAACTGCAAACACGAGAAAATCAGGCTGGCTTCAGACCTGGTCGTGGCTGTATCGACCACATATTCACCATTCGTCAAGTTTTAGGGCACAGACATGCTTATCGGCGTCCGACAATGATAGTTTTTCTTGACTTGAAAGCAGCATTTGACTCTGTAGACCGAGAGGTTCTGTGGCAGTGTCTGTCATTGAAAGGTGTACCTGAGAAGTACATAAACCTTGTGAAGGCTCTTTACTCGAACACTATCAGTCGAGTGAGAGCTTATGGCGAACTGTCATATGATTTTACAACCTCAAGTGGTGTCCGTCAAGGCTGTCCACTATCCCCCTTTTTGTTTAACTTCATTATAGACCTGTTGCTACAAATGACACTCTCGTCGACTGAGTTTACAGGAATTGATCTCCTACCAGGGGGACCACTAAGCGACTTAGAATACGCAGATGACATAGTCCTGTTTGGTGAAGACGCTGACAAAATGCAGAGTCTTCTGTTGGAACTGAGTAATAATGCCAGGATGTTTGGGATGCGTTTCTCCCCATCCAAATGTAAATTGTTACTCCAGGACTGGCCTGCGTCAACACCTGAACTAAGGATAGGGAGTGAAGTAGTCGAATGCGTCGACAACTTCACTTATCTTGGAAGTCTGATCAGCCCTAATGGGTTGGTGTCTGACGAAATCTCAGCACGGATTCAAAAAGCTCGTTTGGCTTTTGCCAACTTACGTCACCTATGGCGAAGACGAGATATCCGTCTATCAATTAAGGGACGAGTATACTGCGCAGCAGTTCGTTCTGTTCTACTTTATGGCTGCGAAACATGGCCATTAAGAGTAGAAGATACTCGTAGGTTACTAGTATTTGACCACAGATGCCTTAGAAATATTGCTCGCATCTGCTGGGATCACCGAGTAAGTAATAGTGAGGTTAGACGCAGGGTATTAGGTAACGATGGTAAATCAGTTGATGAGGTCATGAATCTTCATCGACTGAGATGGTTGGGCCATGTGTTACGTATGCCTGAACACCGATTACCACGACGCGCTATGATGACTAGTATTGGGGACGGTTGGAAGAGAGTTAGGGGCGGCCAAACCAAAACATGGCATCAGTGTTTGAAGTCACTAACTTCTAGCCTGAGCCATGTTGGCAGATGCAGACTACCTGGTTGGGGTCCGCGTGACTATCGTAATAAATGGTTGGAGACTCTAGGTGACATGGCTCAGAATCGATCACAATGGCGTAGGTGTATACACTCTTTATCTTCCCTTAAACCTTGAGATTAAAATTGCTTCATAACTTTTTTTCTTCCTATACTATATCCTTCTATACAATCTTTCTTTATATACTACCACCACTAAATTAATTGCTTCTATGAATCCGGTGTTCATCTTGATGTGCTAAAGAGGTATGGCAACTTGGACCGATGCATATATGTGCCTGGTCCTACGTTGTAGCTAACTGACTGACTGACTGTTACTCCCAATGGAGCATAGGCCGCCGACCAGCTTTCTCCAACCCACTCTGTCCTGGGCCTTCTTTTCTAGTTCTTTCCAGTTCTTGTTCATTCTTCTCATGTCTGTCTCTATTTCTCGGCGTAATGTGTTCTTTGGTCTTCCTCTTCCCCTTCGACCTTCAGGATTCCATGTGAGGGCTTGTCTTGTGACACAATTGGGTGATTTCCTCAAAGTGTGCCCAATCCACTTCCAGCGCTTCTTCCTGATTTCTTCCTCCGCTGGAATCTGGTTTGTTGTCTCCCACAGTAACTTGTTGCTGATAGTGTCTGGCCATCGGATCCGAAGTATCTTGCGTAGACAGCTGTTAATAAACACTTGTATCTTCTGGATAATGGCTTTCGTAGTTCTCCACGTCTCTGCCCCATACAGAAGAACTGTCTTGACATTTGTATTGAAAATTCTAACCTTGGTGTTGGTTGACAATTGTTTTGAGCTCCAGATGTTCTTCAGTTGTAAATATGCTGCTCTTGCTTTGCCGATCCGCGCCCTCACATCTGCATCTGATCCACCGTGTTCATCAATGATGCTGCCCAGATATGTAAAGGTTTCCACATCCTCCAAAGCTTCTCCATCAAGTGTAATTTGATTGGTGCATATTGTGTTGTATCGGAGAGTCTTGCTTTTCCCTTTGTTTATATTGAGACCTACTGCTGCTGAGGCTGCTGCTACACTGGTCGTTTTCTCCTGCATTTGTTGTTGCGTTTGTGATAGAAGAGCCAGATCATCCGCGAAGTCTAAATCGTCAAGTTGCATCCTGCCTGTCCACTGTATCCCGTGCATTCCTCCAGATGTTGACGTCTTCATAATCCAGTCGATCACCAGGAGAAAGAGAAAGGGTGAGAGTAGGCAACCTTGCCTAACACCGGTCTTTACCTCGAACGAGTCGGTGAGTTGTCCTCCGTGGACGATTTGGCAGTTTAGTCCATCATAGGAGTTCCGTATGATATTGACTATCTTCTCAGGCACGCCGTAGTGTCGAAGAAGCTTCCATAGTGTCGTCCTGTCCACGCTATGAAATGCCTTCTCGTAGTCGATGAAGTTGATGTACATATTGAAACATACACAATATCACCGAAATTAAAATCAGCAATGGATCTTTCGCTGTACTACTTTGATATTTAGTGTTTACAACTTACCGCTCGGTTTCTTCAAGAATGTAAAGCCTAACCCCCTAGCCCTTTAATTTGATAATGACACTACCTTTGAAATCGCCACATAACAACATAAACCCCGTTTAACCACATTAATTTTGGGTAATTACCTTTAGTCCCAGTCGGCTTAAAAATTGGAAAAATATCCATCAGCCCAAGTTTTCGCACTATACCACGAAGAAGTGATGATTTTTGACCACATGAAAATTTGTACCTCAATTATTTAAATTTATCATAAAATTACGTTACATTTGTTTTCTAGGGATTTCATGTTTCTCTGTCAAAGAATTTTTAAATTCAAGATGAAGTCATGGTTGGCGATCCAATGATAAGCTGTTGGTTTTGAAAGCTCTTCTTTTCCGGACAGGTTCTTTAAATCTGTTGAAGATTTCATCGCTATCCCCTTAAAATAACAGCGCTCACTCGTGTTTACTTTACCCCATGACTTGGCTTGATGTTATAACTGTGGGCACCAAATACCTTCGAAGATTACATAGACTGCCCGTGATATTGCTTAAGCAACCCAGACCATTCTTGGTAACTGAACATTTTGATACATAAATTCCCCCTAGCTTCCAAGATACTCTGTACTGTATCCTCGTATCAGTTCAAATTTCGGACGTCTAAATAAATATATCGGCAATCATTCACAAGTCAATTCATTGGTTAGAGCAGTACATAGAAAGATTATAAGTAGTAGTACGCAACAACGACCAAACTCATTACTAAGAGTATATAGAGGTTTTGCTGGATCTGTTCAATTGAGGCATTACGTGTCTAACAGACATGAGTAAGTACACTCACCGCTAAGAATGTATTCATCATAAAGTAAAAATCATGGTTTCTTCTCATTCATTGTCTTTGTATTACATTCCATATCCATGTTATTATTATATTGTGATTATCTGTTCAATTTGGTATGTACGAAGTTTGTTGCTTGATGTAAGAAATTTTATCAAACTTAAAAAATAGTTCCCCATACTCTATTTTTGGTTAAATTTGAACCAAATATGACTAGTTAGGATAGTTTGTAATAATAAATTAGCGCACTGCACTTCAATGCAAAAAAGGAAACACTAGTACTTGTGCAATAAAAGTCACACAACTACAAAAATGAAGGGCTAGAGAAAAAATGAACATAATTTTGTATGTAAGTTACTCATACTAAGTCCGACCACGTCACTTTTGTGTTGCTAACCAGGTAGTACATGTTTTTGTACTAGTATTTTAACCACACTGTACAAGGCCTAGTGGTACTACTGTGGTGTGGGTTGCTTATATCCACATAAGTAGTATATTACGGTGGTCGGGCGTTGAATGTATCTCAGTACAAGATCGATAAGGAAACAACGGGAACGGAGCGCAATTGGTATGAAAATGCATGAACAATAATAATCGGAGATTATGGACTGATATTTGCAGAAGGAACAGTCAAGATTGAGACAATTGATTGTTATTTTGCAAATTAACGGTTTAGTGTATGGCTATCATATTTTAGTGAGATAGTCTGTAATTTCGTGTCGAATACATTCGATTGTCCCCACTTGTCTTCTTGTTCACTACACTACCTCTCTTCCTAAACCGTAGCTGAAGCGAGGTCTGGACTTTCTACCTATTTATTTAAAACCAAGTGCTTTGACTGCTAGATCATCACCAACGACTTATGCCATATATCGAACATTGATCAAAGAACTGTATTTTCGTTTATAGCTCAAATCGGCATTCATTGATACCATAGAATTTAGATCTTTAGTAGTGCTTTGATATAACTCATGTGTGATTGGATGACATCACCAGACCTCATACAAATCTGTGACTCAAAGCTGAGTACGGCTCTTTAGTGGTGTTTTGGTATAACTCATGTGTGAATGGATGACATCACCAGATCTCATACAAATCTGTGATTCAAAGCTGAGTACAGTAACATATTCTTAATAAAGAAGAGTTAAACATTAGATATTTAAATATCTATAGAAGGAAGTTATTTCCGAGTCATTTGGTTCTTCGTATAATGTAAACATCCTTCATTGTCATCCATAGTCATCTTATAGGTCATTTTAATGACTTAGTATACCTAGCACTTTACTTAGTTAGCACAACTACCTACTTAAAATAGTGATGATGTTACTTTTGAAGTTGTCGTCGAACGAATGACTTTTAAAATGTTTCTTCACATTATTGATAGATAATTATCACACTGACGTTCGTGGACGGTCAACCAAGTAATAAATTCAACTTGCTTACTAAATAATGAGATGTTCTTGCGTAACCTAAAAATACTGAATACGATCTTGCAATGAGTGACAGTCTTATAACATGAAATCTTAAGTCCTCATGGAGTGGTAACTTCACGGTTAAAGCACTGTGACTCCAATCAATAAATCTCACTTGTAAATTGCACCCCACCAACTTCAGTCCCCTCAATCGGTTAGTATCACTAGCCCTAAAATACAGTCAATGCCAGATACATAAATATGTACCTGGTAAATGAATTACATCGACCTTTGATTACTCATTTCCCAGTTTGTAACAAATGATATTTGTAAATTAATAATATGTTTAAAGCCGATTTCCAGTTATAGTATATGCTTATTATTTCTCTATTTAAAAATTCGTTTGGATAATTTTTTAGTTATTCTTTTCACCCGATCAACAAAATTTGTAAACCAAAGCATGAATCTTGGTTTTCAAGTATCTTTGGCACAAATAAATATCAATCATTGCCCAGATTACGTACAAGTTCCGTGGACTCAATAAACCCGAAAGAGTTTATAGCGGCAGGATGTAATAGTGCTGTATGGGCAGCTGAAGTTCGTCAGCAATATCCAAATGACAATGGTAATTGAAAATTCGATTCTCTCTGTATTATATATATCTATAAAAGTTTGTGGGAATTGTTCAGTCCGAAAATAATTTCCATTACGTGCTGATTGTAGATAAATAGCCGTTAGAAATCAGGTAATACTGAACAGTAGTCCTGTTCTAGTATAGGACTGTACAAGAATGTATTTTCAAGACCCTATCAAAAATGCAGAATTTTCAGACATCACAGTGAACACGTTACCGTTATCTCGCTGAGTTGGTTTTAATGGTCGACATCCCCACCTCTAGTCGTTTCTCTATATTGCACTACCATCATCTATATCCGCTGGTATTTCAAACCGTACCTGCTTGATCTCTTTTAGTCATGGCTTCTTACTAAAGCTTCGAGATTTCTCCTCGATATTAGTCACTAGTAAACAATGGATTGTTGTTATTATTATTGTAGGAAGTTTTTCGAGTATTATTATCTGAAAATAGTTTACTGCAGCGACTAATCCCTGTCAAGGTTGTAGATGCGTAGTGTTGAAAAGTCCTACATAAAAAGCGAACCCATGTCCCCTAGTTTTCAACTGCTGACTAAATAAGGTCACTCTGTGATGTAAAATATGTTCATTTCAAGAATAAAATTTTTCTGTTGATTGTCAAGGCTTAACTATTAACCGACTTGGCAGATAAAGGTTATTTATTGACCTTGTCTTCTACCCTATCGTAGTGAATAATTCGAACCTTGAAAAAACAGTAAATTTTCTTCATCAGGATTTTATTACACAATAGTGATTAGTCGGCAAACTTATAATCTTGCATACTTGCATAAAATCTCTGTTACTAGTTCCTATTGTTTTATGGTATTACAAAAAAATGAGCTAGAAAACATCCATGTGTTGCAAGTATTTAATGTCTTTAAACCATTACTTACAAACCGTGGCACACTTAGATGATTAATTTTGAAGTTTGGTATTGAGTAGTTAGAATAATAAACCGAAATCAGTCAATAAAGCTATGGATTCTCATCACCTAAAGTGAACAGGATATTAGTTTTGCCTGATCAGTCACTACCCACCTCAATCTTCAATTTTGATTGAATCAAAAAGAAATTGGAAGGAAGCTAAGGGCGACCGAACAAAGGAAGAAAGTCAATAACTATTGTTATAAACCATGTTGATAACTGGAGACTATATGTTTGGAGCTTGCACAATAACTGTGACCACTGATTGGCAACACTACATGACAGCTCAATATGATGCGAATCCATTCATCTTTTTATTCTTAATAATATTGCCTACTTCTTATTCCCTTATTTCATTCCTTCTTTCTGATTCATATTCCTTATATCAGTCAGTCAGTCAGCTACAACGTAGAACCAGGCACACATATGCATCGGTCCAAGTTGCTATATCTCGTTAGCACAACAAGATGAACACCGGATTCATAGAAATAGTTAATTTAGTGGTGGTAGCATATAAAAGATAGGTTGTATATAAGGATATAGTATAAGAAGGAAGAACGTTATGAAGCAAGTTTAATCTCAAGGTTTAAGGGAAGATAAAGAGTGTATACACCTACGCCATTGTAATCGATTCTGAGCCATGTCACCCAGAGTCTCCAACCATTGGTTACGATAGTCACGCGGACCCCAACCAGGTAGTCTGCATCTACCAACATGGCTCAGACTGGAAGTTAGTGACTTGAAGGAGTGATGCCACGTTTTGGTTTGGCCGCCCCTACCTCTTTCCCAACCATCCCCTACACTAGTCAGCATAGCGCGTCGTCCTTATATCAAGTCCTTTATGTTATGATTGATAATCCTATTATTTCGACCCCTTAGCTGATTTGTCTTGTTAATGCAATCTTGGATTGATGATGTGTTATGACAATATAGGACGATACATCTTTATACCGTGCCCTACATTGACTGACTGACTTACTGAAATGCCATTAGAATTTCTATACTTAAATAATTTCGATATATTAAGCATCCATCTAGTATCCTTCAATACTAGTAATTGCTTTATCTACTAAGTTCATCTATTTTCTTTAACCAGTTTTATTAATATCACTTTTTTCTCAATAATTTTCAATTAAACATAGAATTTATTGATAAATTGGCTGTGAAAGTACTGTATAACTATTACGCGAATTCATCTTATAATGGACAAGCTAATTTAGGCGATGATTATAATTCATTACAAAATATTCCTGACAATTGGGTATTACTACATCGTCAAATTCAAAGAGAATGTGAACTTCGTCCTCAAACTAATCATCCTAATATTGTTCCATTGGTTGGACATTTTATTGATCGTGCACCTCAAGTCAATTCAGCAAATAATTCACTTGTTCACAATGATAATTATAATGAATTTAATAATACTTTATTTTCTGGTCAAATTTCACAGTTTAGCCATAAAACTACTCAATCAAAATGTTGGCCAGGTGTAGAATGCTTTTCAGAAGGCTTCGACAATCGACCGTATACATTCTACATGTTGATGCCAAGGTAAGTATCTCTTTATTCTTAATACTATTATATATATGTAAGATAGTTGCAGTTCGTTATAAACGACGTAATACCTATCATGGATATGAGCATCAGCTAAATGTTTCAACGTCTCATATCCACACATCAAGAAAATAAATTCACAAGATGAAAATCTAAGGAGTTATAACAATAGTCATATCAACAGTCATGAGAACTAATGATATGGAATATGGCTCAAGAAGGCGTATGAGGTCGGGAATTATGAAATAATGGGAAATCTTAAGAGGTGGACATATAATGAATTTATCTTCACCATTACAACAAAATTTTCAGTTATGTTACCCAACCCCTCTAACCACTGTTTATGATCGTCGTCCGAAACGCAAAATAAAAGTCTTCATCTCCCAACAATCACTTACTTCATGGAATGATCCCACTTCTTAGTTTTCCCCCTTTTAGCATTGTTCCAACGTTCTGAAATCGCACATCAGGATATACGATAGTTGGGTATGTTTAATATATATCTTAATCACCTTAGTTGATCAAACTAACACAATGATCGTATGTGATTTGCTTCATGTATTTGTCTCTCAGGCTCTTTGGCCTTGTTCACATGTCATTAAAACTATCAATACTAATTAGGTTTCCTTTTTTGTCAAGCTTGATAACAATAAGTATCTTTTCACATAGAGACTAGGAAAAGTTTACCACCATCACATTTCTATCTATACAAGTTCTGTTTTATATTCTTTAAAGATAAGAAGAATACCTAACAGATTTTTTTCTGATATGGAGAAACTGGCGAAGTGATTTTCACAAAATTAACCTTCAGAATACTGGTTAGATGATAATAGTTTATTATTCATTAAAAAACATACCTAACTTGTCCCATTTCTATATGTCCAACAAAAAACGATAGTATGAGGTTGTGGAGATTGTTGAATTTCATTGAAATCGTGCACCGATCCAAGTTGTACCACCATTGAAAGCCTGAAAGGACTAGATGGCTGTTTCGTCCTAGTGTGGGACTCCTCATAAGAGAGCACCCACGACCCCGCTCTCGAAAATCGAACCCATGACTTTTGATGTCGCACATGAACGTCTAGTCTTTAGGCCAATGAGTAGGTATCCAACGGTTTTAATGCCTAACCTCAATCAGTCCATGCTATTGCACAACCATCCTTTATTGTCTCTAGTAAATTAGACTCAAACAATTTGTTCTCAATTAAATCTTGATCATTTCAATGATTTCACTCTAACCTTTCCATTATTTTTGTTCTAAAGATTTGAAGCAACTTTGGATGATCTTTTACGAGGGAATTTAAAATGTAACTTTGAACAATCATCAGCTGAAATAAATCACGAAGGTAGTATTGAATCTAAGCAAAATCAGAGTGATAATACTAATCTTGCGCATATTAGTCAGTATCAAAAAACAAATGTTTCTAATACTTTCACACCATCTTTTCAATTACATAGTGATTTACATTACTTATTTAATTCAAGCCTATCGAATTCTGCATACATTAAACATGGTGAAATGTATATTCCTGTAGAAGAGATTGTAGCTATAATTGCTCAGTTATTTGAAGCAGTTGCGGAACTTGAAGCTCATGGTATTGCTCATAGAGATATCAAACCAAATAATATACTTATACGCCGACGTGTTCCATTTTTTAGTACTAATCAAACTTCTGATATGAATAATGCTACACATAATGATTTTGTTCAATCCCATCTAAACTGGTTAAATGGTTAGTGTAATTTATGTGTCCCTTATTATTGTACCATCAATATTACTAAATATTTTAGATACATTTAGTTGTCTAATTTCATTTCATTAAGATCAAAAGGCGAAAATTTGTAAAAAAGAAAAAGATTTCACTTCCAAAGTTTGTTTTTGTACTGGTGACAAAGCATTCATAAAGTGACTTGGAAATGGTAAAAGTGTTTTAAAAGTATATTAAGATTAATACTAGGTTTTAGCGTGGCCCTAAATGCCCTGGTATGGCCGAGAGTGGGGAAAGTTAGCTCTCCCTCTCGAAATGCTCTCACATGGTCACGCGTATACAACCATTATCAAGGAATTCCTACTCACTGCCTTCTCGCGGAAGAGGGTATTGTTCACGAAACTGAAAGGATAAAAAGCGAATGTCCGGCACTCTAACCGGGTCGGTGGACACGGTGAGTCCACCTAGAGGAGTTGGAAAACCCTGATTCCAAACTAATGATGCAAATGAGCTCCAGGATCCTTAAGGAACAAATGGTGTATGAACCAATTACTGGTCACCGGCTATCATGGGACTGCATCTCCTGACGTCGATCCATTGCCTTGTGGATTAGACCTCCAGGTCAAAAACTGAGGGTGTGGCCCCCCTAAGAAAACCCTCTGTTTCTGCTTGGGCACTTGGGTAATATCACAGCCCTTACACAAATCGAATGATTAATGTGGCGCACATTTATATTTGGTGCCTTCTTGTACCAATGTTTGTGTGTTTAAATAAATAAATAAAAGTTTTAGCGTTTAGCTAAAGGGATTAGCATGAAACACAAATTGTTCCTTAGATTATTCCCAAAAGTCTTCAAAAAATCCTAGCTGGATATTTGTCTTGTGTCAAGCAATTATCAATTATGGTTTCAGTGATCTAGAAGTTTAGCGTTCTCTCACAAACCGACAGTGTTATAAATGTATACTTCTGAGAAGTCCCCTACTATGACGAAATAGCCTTTTTCTCAGTACTTCCAGATCTTAAATGTTAATCTATCTAAGATCAGTTCGTGATTGGAACGATGAAAAATCATAGACTTCTCATAAATCTTGATTTTTCTTCATTCCATTTAGACAAAAAATTACAAATAATTAATTCACGTTTTCATGTTGCATTAACTGATTTCGGTTGTGCTATTCGAACTGGACATCATCATTATCATCATCGTATTAATGGTAATAATAATAATGAAAAAGAGTATCTAAATCATAGTGGAAATTTGGCATTATTAGCTCCAGAAATAGCACAAATCATTGATTCACTTAAAGATAATTCAAACAATATTATAACTAATAAAGATTATAAACATTCAGATTTATGGGCAATTTGTTACATCATCCAAGCCTCCTCCTCGGCTTCGATTGGTCGTACAATCTCCATTTAGCAGATATTCTTTTAAGTTCGATATGTAATCAAATCTATCCCACTATGTCTTCAGACTACTAATCTGAACTAGTGAATCAATATGTTGGTGTTTTTGAACCAAATCTGGATCATTTCAAAACTATGTGAGTAGCTTTGCGATGAAAGTCTAACACGTCCTCAGTGTTCTGATCTGAGAGACGTGTTTCGTATACATTCCCGGCGAAATTTGATAAAAAATTCACACAGTTACTTCCGTAAGGCGTTATCATAGAAGTCACTATAACCTGAGGCTCTCCTATTGTCGTCATAAAGAACTCTAATATCGTCACAAAAACTCTTACTGATTTATAAACGAGTGTCAATGCAACTTTTCAACATCTTTATTCTCTCCTAGTACCAGATTACCTATTTACTATTTCTAATGTTAGGTGGTGTCTCACGCATCAATGCTTTCTGGCAAAAGGGGACATATTTTAGAAAAATGCCATCAACCACAAAACAAATTGAGATTTCTTGCATTATAGTCTTTTGCTTGTGTGTATAGTTACATGAGTTTTTAAGTCTGATTCGTACACAATACTTGATTGTTATTATTGGTATAGTGGGAATGGATAAGAGTTTTGTGTCGACAATCGAACGTTAGTATATAAAGCATCTGAGTTATTGAGATTATCGTTATTGACATAGCTGAAATCACAACAACTTGGAAACAGTTATCCAGTCTAACTCTTGTCATTTTACCAGATACAATTATTAATGAAGCAATAACATAGCTCATTTAAAGCATCTGAGAAACGTGTCATTGAAATATTATCTGAAAACAATCAATTCACTCCCCATGTGTTGTTATTGCATTTGGTATCTGACTAACTTCTCCATCATAGAGGAATTTCAGAATTGAACTAAGAAAGGAGATGCAATGCCCGATCGTTCTGGCATGCATGTGAACTAAAATATTTAAATTATAATTAACATAAAAATCACTGTTTGGTATCCTTTGAAATTTCAGATCTCCACTCAACTTAATTTATCTTTGTTGTTCTCAGATGATTTATTTATCTCCACTTTCTTTTAGACATTTTCTTCAGTAAACTATACTGAAGATTCTTTGCCTGAACTTCCACATGAAGCACCAAAAATAATGACATGGATTTTACATCAATGTCTTAAACGTAATCCATCCAAAAGACCTAATGCTGATGAGATTGCAGATATTTTGCATACTTGGTGTCTTATTCGACATTTTCACACTAGACAAGAAGTTGATATTTTTAAAGATTTTTCTCAATATCCAATAAATCTTATGACAGATGTAAGTTTAAAAAACTAAATTACTAATAATTATCAGTATGACTGAATTTTAATAGTTGAATTCATAAATCGATCTAAGTTAGACCACCATTAAATACTTAGAAGCATTGGACAGCTGTTTCGTCTAAGTATGGAACACCTCAACTGTACACATCCATGATCCCGCACGCGGAACTCGACCCCATGACCTTCGATTTCTCAACCATTGAGCAGGCATCCAACGGTCTACCTTAGATCGACTCATAATTTCAACTATTAAAATTACTACAATCTCCACAAATTCCCATTCTGATAATACGATTAATGTTAAATACAGATTAATAAGTAGAAAATGGGGAGTTTTGGAAACCTCTACATTGGACTATATATATACCCCTTGTTATTCAGTTTTGTATCACAAATGGCCTAATTGTTTATAGACCGTAATTTCTTACTTTTAACATTTTGTATGGTCTTGTAATTGGTGTATATTTTTATATGAGTTTTGGAAGCAGTATAATAAAAGGTGAATTGATCGATTCTTCTCTTTTTCTAAGTGGATTTGTTGAGAACAGATGAAATTTTAGGTGCTCAACAAGCGCCTACACGCTTAGTAAGGGATATTTAGTGGGGTCACATAGAATTTGAATTCATGTTAACTAGATTTATCTAATTTCATAAATTGAGATGTAACCGATGTCGGTGATTAAAATATATCCACTTGTGATACGAAAACTCAACATGAAGTTACTACTGGAATTTGTAGTTCACACAATTACTTTCGGTGATGTATCATATTCCATAAACCAGTTGATTTGTTTGAGAGGTATTCATTGTTGACATACTCTTTACCTATGCAATACAATTAATCCATACTTACGTTTCTTGTTTTAAAATATTTTCATTCTTTTAATTGGCTTTTAGATTGGTTCTTTGACTGCAAAATTTAAAAACTCGACAAAATCTCATAAAATACAAAGTAATAAGCTCATCAATCGTTTGTGTGATCTCCTAAATGTATGTTGGGCAGGTGATTGGTTATCTGGAGCCGCTCGTCCTCCAAATGGTATACGCTCTCTGTTTTATTCACGAGCTACTCCTGGACGTTTGGCGCTTTGTTTAAATATTGTACACCAATTGGAGTGTTTCGATTTCCAACATATGTTGGATTCCTAACTACTAATATTAGTAGTCTGACTTCTTGAAAAATAATCCGAAAAACCTAAATTACTTATTCTTTTATGCTTATTTATTTACTACTTTCTTCATAATCCCTAATGTTATCGTCTTTCATTTACAGTCATTATATTTTACAGACTCTGCATATAGTGTCATCCTGTCTTACTCATAAAGGTGTATCGAATAATTTACTTTGTTCTGTCTTGCATTTGCTTTTAGAAAATAACCTATTGTTGTATTTTGTTCACGTCTTTCGTAGATCTCTTTCTCAGATTGAATTCCGTTTTAGTTGTCTCGAAAACCACATCTAGTTTATTTATTATAACATTTTGTCCTTATACCTTGGCGTAAAATAGCATGAAGAAACGTATGGTGAGAACTAGCTATCGATCAAAGTGACAATACTTACTTAAGGCCATTGATTTTTATTCAAATGACGATATTTCTTGATCTAGACAGTCACATTTGCATCAACTATCTAAACATCTCGCCAAGGATTTGCAAGGACATGATAGACTGGATGGAACTAGACATATCACGTGCCTGTGCTCACATTATGCCTCTGTGCAAAGCACCAAGTGAAAGATAATAAATCAGATTGGTTATTAGATAACGATAGTTATGTACGTTATCATGGGCTTGGTTCATATGGCTTTGTCCTAGGCATACGTCTCTACACTCGCATACCAGGTTGTCCACGTGTTTAGGAAGCATGTATATCAGCGGATGAATTTGACAACAGCAGAGAGTAACAGAGTCCGGTCAGTGTTTTTTTTCAAAACATGAATAAGACAACCATTTGTGTAGGCAAGAAGTATTTAATTCACTGGGATAACATAGTTAAAGTCGATTAAAATCGAAAGGGTGTTTCGAATAAGATTAAAAGTCACAAACGTACATTCAATGCGATGAGTTCATCAATAATAATATTTAGCTAGAGATGGCAGAAAATGACTTGTTATGTATGAATGAACGAATAATATTTGCATCAAACAATGTGAAAGTATTTAATTCATTCTTAACCACTATTGTAAGAATAAGTCTGTTCAGTAAAATATGAATTACTTATGAATAGTACTTTTAAAGACATTACAGAGAGTCAGAGTTCAACCCAAAGCAGATCAGAAAATCCATATGAGAAAAGAATTCTAGTAAATCACCCGGCAAACCGTTTTAACTGAAGACAAATTAGATAATAACGTCTAGTTTATAGGTTTTGAATTGGATATATCTATATAGTCTGAACCAGTTTTAACCTCGACAAGTGATTTCTGGATTTCCAATCCAGAAGTCTCACCGTTCATAACAAGTCAATATTAGGTTATGGTTCTACGACTTGAAATACTCCGCATAGCTTTCCAGTTCTCAATAAATAATTATAACTCGCCCTGAATAAATAACTGCTTGGTATGTAACCATCCACCCATTAACTGTTTGGTGACTCCAAGTATCTATTTATTGGTACAAGGAAACATCAGATTTATATGCGCCACACAAATCTCATTTGATTTGTGTGAGGGCTAGGATACTACCCGGGTTCCCAAACTGAAGCAGGTGGTTTCCTTAGAGGGCCACATCCGAAGACTTTGACCTAAAGATCTGTTCCACAAGGCAGTGGAGCATCGTGAGGAGATACAGTCCCATGGTAGTCAGTGACCAACGATTAATTCATACGCCATTTGTTCATCCAGGATTCTGGACCCCATGTGCATCATTGGTTTGGAATGGGGGTTTTCCAACTCCCCTAGGTGAACTAGCCGTGCCCCCCAACCCGGCTAAAGCGCCGGACACTCGCTTTTCGTCCTCTCGATTTCGTAAACAACAGTAATGCCACGAGAAGGCAGTGAGTAGGACTTCCTTGACAATGGTTTTATACGCGTGGCCATATAAGGGCATTTCGAGAGGGAGAGCTAACTCTTCCCACTCTTGGCCGTAACAGGGCATTTGAGGGCTAGGATTTTTCTGAAAGGAAGTTAAGCTAAAAGTTGATTGACGTAATCTACATTAGATGTGTCTCAAATTTGTCACCCCTTTTCTTAGAAGTACATTCGTGTTGTTAACTGAATTTTATCTTCCTCCGATGTTATACGCTGAGTGTCTGGCAGTCCAACATACCGCTTCTGCGATCATCCATATAAATCTGGAACCAATTTATTTTACTAATGCAACAAATATGCTCAGGTCTTAGTAGCTTGAAACCGGAAAATCCTTATATACGCTTGTTCGTTTCTTAATTGTACATGCTGTTTGTGTATTGAGTAATGCGTTAACGTAGGAAGATGGTTGCCCGAATTTGTTTGAACCATTGTGCGTGAATGTATGATTAAACGTGAGTTTGCCATGCTGAGCCCCTTGCTTGGATGGACTATCTATCTAGTGCCTCCTGGATTCCAGTGTTTGTCTAATGAAGTTATGTCCCTAAGTAATCTACGGAAATTATACAGTTATCTTAAACCCTCCTATACCAATTGACTTCCCTTCATACAAATTCTGTAGCTTACTCGACACTGATTCCGTTAGATTCCATAGAGTCATATTATTGTATTAAATAAATGACTGAACAACCGCTGATCATGCTGATTTCCCTAACTGTTATTTCATGATCTGACGTTCTCGCGAGACAAATCATGTCCGAATTCAGTAACACATGATGAATTATATCATACTTTCTGTTAATCATTTATTAAGTTTATTAGACTATAACTGGTACAACTAGATTGTGTGTCCTACTCAACTGCTGGTCTTGACTTACTATAGGATTAACTAGAATGATAAGCTTTCTGACTTAAGTGGCATTATGTTGGTGTTTCACCACCTACTATTCCGGCTCACTCCAATGGTTCGGCCAGGTTACTTTAGTATGGAACAAAGAATGGACAAAGTACTACCAGTAATTGCTGTAGGGAGAAGACTGTGCGAAGATTATGAGACAGAAATTTCGTATTAAATGGGAAAGACGCTTTGCCAACAAACTTTCAGCAAGTGTTTTCATCAAAAATTATTCCTCTGTTATCTTTCTTAGTACAAATAGCGAACCATTTTCCTGTATAACTGTCTCTATGGAGACACTAAAATCCCAAATCCTAATATCAATCTAATCATATCATCGCTTAAAATAAACTTTCCTGAATATATGTTCACCTAACCCTATATACTGGATCTTCGTATTACCAGATATTTTATCGCAAACAAATATTCACATACAAATTGGGCTTAAGAGTTAGCTCATCAGAAACATCAAACGTAAGCCAGAAAACAGAGAAAATGAAGCATCAATTCTTGGAGTTCTAACTTAACTTCGCATAGAAAATCTTAAGTGGTACTGCCTTTCCTATGCCTGGGTAAACGAGAGTTAGAGTAGTTGTGACATACTTATTTTTTATAAAGAACCTCTCGAAATCACGGTAAACTCCTTAAACTCTCTCTCAGAGTTTTAGAAGTTCTCATTCAAGAAAACCATGATGCTTCACGATGAAAGCCCAAGTTCTTTTGAAGTCATAAGCTAATTCCACCTTCTGAAAATCGGAGCAAAAATTCATCCAGTTATATGGAATGCCCAAATAATGTGCGAGACTTTTGGCTATTTCAAACAGCAGAGGAAGTGAGAATATATAACCCGGCGTTACTTGGTACAGGAGAAACTTACGTGAAAAATATAGGGATGAGGAAGGTTAACTTAAGTAAAGCTAATATTCTAGTTGCCAGAGTAAGATGCTCCACACTCGGAAAGCCGTACTGACGCCCTCCAAGGAAGCATGAAAGCGCGTATAGGATGGGAAAGTCAGTGTTGCACAATCACCAAAACATCTTTCAAAGTAGAGGTGATAGAAATTACAGTGAATGTCATTCAGTCCTGTGCACCCGCTAATTCTGTCAGCGAAAATCACAGAGATCAGTATTACAAAAGGTTATGGTCCATCGTAGAAGTGACCTTAGCTCCGAGGTCATGATAAACAGCACCGGGTATGATGATATCATGGCTTAAATGGACCGGGAGAAAAAAAGATGATGAGAGGCCCAATCTCATCGTTTTGAATAGCATGATTGCAGGTGGTAACATTCTCCCCACAACTGCACACATTAAACGACATGTATTTAATTGAACTACACTATAAAAAACCAGGGCGATTACATCAGCATGAACTAAGGAATCGAAAGGTCCAAGGGATATGTAGGAACAAAGTTAGGTTTCAAAATCGCTTCAGATAAACAGTACATTATGGTGGACGAGATGAAACTAGGGCTGAAGAACCATTTGAAAGTTAGATATTAAGAACCCCAAATGTTTAATATAGTCTACTATCGAGGTGCTAACAAATTCACCAAACTCTAGATTGCTCTCGAAAACACGTTCCATATCTATGGACATGCCAAGGTTTTCTCCGAATCTCATTATTCCAGACCGATTTAAAATCTCCATTTAATCCTAAAACATGTGAAAAATACCAACCACAGTCGTAAGGTTTATTTTGACAAAATCTTACAGTATATATATTATTGACTAGAATGGGAGAAGCAATATTTTAAATTGCACACCAAAACGTAATAGCCTACGAATAATTTATCGAAAAATGATATCAAGTAAAAGAATATATGTTCGAAATTCGCGGTCTGATAATTTGGAAGGACCAAAGTCTTTTATATGCAAATATTATGATCTGGATATAAAGATCTTAACTTCTAAAAAGTCCTCACGTTATGGCTATCTTATTTCATAATCAAAGGTTCAAAGCTTTCTTCTGAAAACATTCTAGTAATCTCATGCACCTTTTCAAACATTCCTGTCAAATTTTAAATTTCACATGCTCAATATATCGATTCAACCAGGGGTCTCTTCTAACCGAAGAACTAAACCCAAATACAAAGTCAACAAGCCGTATGCTCACCATGGACTTTGATCGAGACGATGTACTTAAGACTACTAGCATTTTAGACACCGAAAGGTTAACAGGATCGGACGAAATACACCCCCAAAATCCTAAGACAAGTGGCACAAT